GAGATTCTTCAGAAGATAGTTATGTGTAATAACATAATTGTAATTTGGGATAAGCTATAAATCAGTTTTTTCATATTTCATATTTCATATTGTTGCCTAATTTATGTCATTCATTTTTGCAGTTAGTAATCCGTTCACTGCCAAGTAGTTCACAGTCAAAATGGGGGTGTCTTTTCTCTGCATGGGCATGTAAAGCTTATGGTTATCTATTGTATTCTACCTTCCCTCATGCTCGTGCTGTACTGGCTGATTAAACTTAAAAAGTGAATGATATGGTCTTACAAAGTATAACAATAATCTATTTCTTGTCAAATTTGCTGTTACAAATTTACAAGCAATGTTGAAGATGTTGATAAATACTAAAGACAGAAGAAACCTTGTTCGGGTTGGTTTTGGGTCCGCTTCCTCTTCTTCTTGGTAGAGACTTGAAATAAATTGTGTATAAGTTAAAGGCTTTGTATTGTAGCAGGGCAGCCGGCAAGGCTTCTATTTCCCTTCACGCTTTCCCTTTCTCCATTCCCATGGCTGCTCTGGGTTTCTAGAAGCCCACAACCCTATCCTTCTAGCTCGAGCTTCATTCTCCCACTGTTATGAATCATGAATTAGAATGAATCGAGTAAAGCGAACATGTAACGTAGCATACACGTAACAGCTTCCATCTATTAAAACTGTTCGTAAACTTAGATGTGAAAATATCTGTCTGAATTGTAGTTTTTTTTCTTTTTTTTTCCAAAATGTTGAGGTGGATGTGAGATTGATTTATAATTGGTCCTTGTATTAAACATAATATATATTTAGTTCATTTAAAAAATACATACATGGCAAGTTAGGCAAGTTAGTAGTATATATTAACTATCACGTTGATCATTTCAAATTTTAGGGACCAAACAGAAATTAAAACTAAGCTCAATTTTCAAGAATTAAACTAGTCCTCTTATCATACCTGACTTTTACTTGAAGTTTTGGGGATATAAGTTTAACGAATGCAATCAAAATGTAACGCACCTTTGCCAGCTCTGCGCGTTTGTCATAGGCAGTGTAATGCCACGCAAAGCCCTTTTTCAGCATTGCTTCCTGTAGAGAGAACCAAGAACTTATTCTTACATAACCAGAAACATGAAGCCATATGATCCATTGTGGAGAGTGGAAATAGTGTAATTAGTGTTACCTGAATAAACTTTCCATTACAATACAAGTCACCCACACATCGGTTATACCGATCTTCTCCGTACACAAGTACTCTCAAACACTTGCCTTCGACAAGCTTTCTCAGCTCTTCTTTTGCCTCTTTCCCATAAGGCATTGCGCTTTCTGGTGCATCTATTCCTCTGCATTATCAACGTTCAACTAAGCCCAAGGGTCAATGGAATTTGGAAATCGTTCCAAAGTATGGAACAATCATTATTTTTATTCAGGTTTAAATCGTATTTTGATTTTGTGCTCTTGAAAAATGAATCTTTAGTCTATTTGCAAAATGATTCTATGCACAATGATCATCATTTAATAAAAGTTATGAGAGTATCTTTAGTAAATTCGGAATGATGTTGCTGTGAAATTGCGATAAAAAAAAAAAAAAAAAAGAGAAAATATAAATCAGTGAACTTTTCAATAGTACAAAAATGAAAGAAGACATTTTGAAATTACATGAATCAAAATAGACAAACGATTTGAAAAGGTATACATCAAAATGAAAAAAAAAAAAAAAAAAAAA